TTTTTTTTTTTTCCTCTGTAATCTGCAGTTGCAATTTTTATTTCCTCTTTGACCCAGATTCTGTTTGTCATTGTTGCTTTTATAATAGTGCTTACCATTTTTTATCAAATGCACTCCTTTACTTTCTTCAGTTTATGCTTTTATTGCCAATTTCTAGATTCATTCTGTATAGAAAATGTGACCTGAAGGATAATTTCTGCTTTTGAGTTAATGAGATTTTCTTCATGGCTTCAGATATAATGGATCTTTATAAATGATACACTGATATTTGAAGGAAATATGTATTCTCCAAAGATTATATCAATTATTTTTGGTTTAATGATTACTACATAATTTATATGCTTATTTTTTTTTTTTGTTTAACTTATAAAACTCTTGAGAATAATGTGTAAAACACCCATAATCATTGTCGTTTGGTTAATTTCTCCTGGCATTCCTTCACTCTCTCTATCTCACCCTAACCCCTCTGCACCATACAATATTTTTATACTGCAAAATTACATGTTTATAATATGCACGTTCATATATATTTGTGCATGTGTGTTTGTGTGTGTATGTATAAAATCAAGAACCCTCTTGCTCTTTTCTTAATCCTCAGAGGTAATAATTATAGAGTGCATTCTTCCAGATACTTACATGTGTTTATCAATTTTATTGCATTTTTGACTATCTTTAAAAATCTTAAATTGTATGAATAATACCTGAACACACACACACATACATAAATGCATGTACACATGTATAGCACAGCTTTTTAATGAGTGTGGGTTTTACAAATATGTTATATGAAGAGGTCATACTATACACATTGCTTTACAACTTGATCATTTCTCTCAAGAATAAGGCTTGGTAATTTTTCCTTATAAATATAAATCTACTTCATTTCTTTAAACTGCTGTATACTATCCTATATATATAGTCACTATTTAGTTAAACAATCCCTTTGGTGGACCTGCCCCTCAAGTAAGATGAGATAATGTGCATACTTTTAGTTCATTTGTTCTTCTTTTAGATGTAGATTATTATTGATTTATGCATTGCCTTTCTTACGAATAATTATTTTTGACATTTCTAGATGTAAGTCTGTTTTCCTTAATTTTGTCCAGTATATTGTACAATGGGTTCTTTCAATCTAAATGTTGAATCTTTCTTGGCTCAGAGAAATTTTCACATATTATTTGTTATTTCTCTTCTACCTTTTCTGTCATTTTTGAGTGTGTGTGTGTATCTCCAGAATCTGGTTTCCTTATGTCTCAAGTTTTCATTCATTATCTTCAACTTATTTTACCTCTTAGTTCTGGGAGAATTTCTTAGTTGCCTTTGGAAGCATTGATTGGGTTTTTGTCATAATCTAGTGTATTGTTCACTGACTGTTACATTTTTTAATTGAGTATTTTTTTCCTCACCAGAAGCCAATTTTTCTGAATCCTAGAGTGTTCTCTTTTCATAGATTCAAGTGTCCTGTTGAGAGTATACTTTTTTCCTTTCCAAATTATGTTTATTGAGGTAAAGTAGGTTTACGTTTTTATATCTGCTGTAGGAGTTGTAGGTTCAAACCTTTACAAATACATACTTTCACACTCTTCCCATCAACAGTGGCCCAATAATCCTCCAACATGTTCCACTGGGCCCCTTCCAGTTCTCTGGAGTGAAAGATTTCATAAGTAGACTCTTGTTCTGATTCCTTAGAATATTTTTCATTGAAAAATTACTTGTTACTTTTCATATATCTGGTTGTTTTTTTCTGTTTATTTATCTTTGTGAAAGATGGTCTTCGAGTTTTGGAGTTTAAGATGAATTTCATCAGATTTGTCTTCTAGTTTGAGACTAAGACTAATCTTTGTATTTTCCATAGTTTTAATATACTTATCATTTTCCTTTTATTTCTTCTTATCTATCTCCAGATATAGAGAATAGTTGTTTGTGAACGATTGGAAGGATTTGCTAGCCAAGGACAATTGTGAGGGAGAGAAACTTGCTACTATGCTAAAACACTTTTTTACATATGTTGTAGATGCTTGACATTACCCAGAGCATTGCTACTCTTCTCTAACTGGCACAAAATTAGTCTCCTCATTTGAAACCCAGTGTCAAGGAAACAGAAAACCATATCATGTTATTTGGTCCAGAGTGGAGATTTATGGAAGACATAATAACTGTCTTTGATAGCTGAAGAGGCAGTCACAAAAAGGATTGGACTTGTTATAGAGTCTTGAGTGGTAAAATTATGTAAGAAGAACATTGTCTTATATTAAAAGAAAGGGGAATGCTAAAACTGATGGAACTGCTGGTTTAAATCTTCATTGACTAGCAATTTCAATCATCCATTCAGATATTACCCACTTTTAGATGTTACCATTTGATATCAACATGCTGCATGGGTGGCAAGTGCCAATGTGAGGTACCAGGAGGAGGCTATACAAATGCTGGCTTTGTCATTTGCTCATTGAAACATCATCCTCAGAGAATTGCAGTTTTCCATCCCTACTTCCTTTATTGTAATTATTTTACTTCAATTTATTGATACCTAACATGGTAATCCTTAGCTTTCATCTCTATGAACTCTCTCCATCCCTTATTATTATTATTATTTCTTATTTTCTTTTGGAATATAGTAGGCAGAATAATATATCAACAGCTTAATCCATTCCCTCCCCCAAAAACCTGTAAATATATTATCTTTCATGGCAAAGGGAAATTAAGGTAGATTATGCAATTTAAGTGGTAATCAGAAAAACTTAATATAAGGTGATTATCCTGGTTATCTCAGTGGGCCCAATGTAGTTACGGGGTTCCTTAGATGTAGAAGAGGGAGACAGAGAAGAGTGCAATGTGGGAAAGACTCTGCTAGTGATAGGTGGCATTAAAGATGGAAGGGTCCACAGAACAAGGAATGAGGCAGCTTCTAGAAGCTAGAAAAAGGAATCTCCACTAGAACGTTCAGAAACTCAGTCCTGCTAACACCTTAATTTTATTTTAGTCCAGCAAGTACCAGTTTGGAGTACTGACTTCCAGATCTGTAGCATAAGGAATTTGTGTTGTTTTTAAGCCAGTAATTATAATTTATTACAGAGCAATAGGAAACTAATAAAGGCAAATTTCGAAGAAGATCCAAGGCTCTATCCCAGGAACAGTAAGAACAGTTTCTTGTATTTCTGTTATTCAGAAATGTAATATACCTATTGGTAAACCATTATATTCAACTGTCTTCTGATAATCATTTGCCTATGCAAATATACATCCACATTTCCAATGGTTTTACTGACTGACATTTTGGTTATCTAGCTCTAGTCAATTAGAGTAACTTATGTAACAGGAGTCCCATTGAAGTAAATAAAACTTAAAGGGAGAGTGATTTATACTCAATGAAAGGAAGAATTTTCTGTTAAAGCCTTTCAAAGAGAGATTGGACTATATTTGGTAGTTTAATGGAAACATTAAAGAGGATTCATGTATTGGTTGAGTTATTAGACAAGTATGGGTTATATTATTTTATTTATTTAAGATTTATTTATTTTTATACAAGAACTGGAGTACAGGCCAGATGCGTGGGAGGGTAAGAGGATTCACCAGAAACAGAGCAGGGAACAGAACAGGCAGAATGACTGAAATAAACTGCTGAGGGGAGCAGCAGGTGAGACAGGAGAGGTCTGCTTCGCCATGTGGGATTCTCGCTGGCAGGCCGGGATAGAACCTGCGCTGCAGAGGCTGTGGACAGCTTCACAGTGTGGTGCTCAACTGCCTGCACCACCAGGGGAGGCCCTATATTCTTTTTTTAAAGATTTATTTATTTATGCATACAAGAGCTGAGGTACAGGCCAGAGGTGCTGGGGGCAGGGTGAGAGGATTCACCAGAGACAAGAGTGGAGAACAGAACAGGCAGATTGACAGAAGTACACTGCTGAGGGGAGCAGAGGGCTAGTCAGGAGAGGTCTGCTGCACCATGTGGGTTGCTCTCTGGCCTGCTGGGGATCGAACTTGTGCTGCAGAGGTTGCGGATCGCTTCACAGGTTGCGTCTTAACCCCTTGCGCCACCAGGGAGGCCCAAATATGGGTTATATTCTCATTGAATCACAATAACCTAAGAGGTGGTGAGGAAGAAACATCGCTAAAGATTGGGTAGGACCACTGTGGGAGGGAGTGCAAATTGTGCCTGTAACATGGTCTTCTGCTAAGGCGAAAGTGAGCAATGGAATTCTGCCATATTCTGTTTGCCATGCTGTGCATTCTGGCCATGGGACTACTATGCCCTGAGGCAGGGACATCTTTTGCTAATTCATGCAAAGGTATTGCCAACTTGATAGATGTGTGCCTGCAGGGCTACATTCATCCAAACAAGGCACTTCTTTTCTAAGTTGATAAACATGTCATGTGGGCCAGCACTAGCTGGGACTGGGGCTATAGTAGTTTTTTTGAGTTGTTGAAGGCAAGACAAGGAAAATAGGAGAAAGAAGGGAAGGGGGCCGGTTATACTATTAATGCTCTAATCTCATTCTGGTTTATCTAGCTCAGCTTCTTTCCAAATGGTGCAGTTGGTACTTGTTTCCAATCCATAAATTCGAATAGCATATGCAGTTGAGAGGATAAACTAGTAAATAAGTAAACTAATAAACAAGTCTCTGTATTTCAGAGCTAAATAAACCTGATCTCCTTGGGGGTGTATTATATAAGATAGTAGAAAGTGGAAACAAGAAATGTAAGTATTGAAGATCAAGGGGAGAGGGTGTATTCACTCAATATCTCTCTCTCTCTTTCCTCAATCTGATTTTTTAAGACTGGCCACCTACCTAAGTGTTGTAGGGACAGATAATGTCAGGGTCCTCAAAGCCAGGAGATATAGGCAAGACCTAGTTGAAGTAGTTCTCACATTCCTAGCAGTCTCAACCAGCCAGGTCTGGTAGTTCCACTGTCCTCAATGCTGTATACCAGATAGCTCCATCTATCTGGATGTGGCTTTGTACCTGGACAGATTCCTGCCCTGTGTGTGTATTTATCCCCAGATGACCTTCGAAGTGAGTCATGAGACCCTATACTTGGCAGTGAAGCTGGTGGATCACTATCTTATGGGGGCAATATGCAGGAAGGAAAAGCTACAACTCCTTGGTTCCACTGCTTTTCTGATTGCAGCGAAATTTGAGGTAAGTCTGAATTCACAGGACCTGGACACAACCAATCAGGTTTCTATCCAAGCCAGAAATATATATTTGTGTGTGTGTGTGTGTCTATAATATGTATGTATATATTATATACATGCACACACATCTATGTTTGGATATAGTGTACCTGTGTGTGTATATGATTACATACATAAATACACACAAATAATTTTTCCGATCAATTTTTTGTTTGACCATCAGGGACCTCATGTTGCGTGTCAGTGTTGTGTATTTGTTTCCTAGCGTCAGCAGGTTTTTCCATTTCCTCTTTGAAGATGTATGTATCTGAGCATGTGTCAAATCTAACGGGTCATTCTTTTTAATGCTTCATGATTCTCTATTCCCCTCCCCTGTTCTTCTTCCGCCAACTCCATTTTCATCTAGTGGAGTGTTGAACTGAATTTATAAGAAAGTATTTCCAAATCTGGGTGCTGGAGTCATTGAAGGGAACATGTCCCAGTCTAGATGGTATGGTAGTGAGTCTAAGGGAAATCGTTATTTTTGAAGTAACAGTAGAAAAGTGAGGCCTTTCTTCATAATTCCTCTTATTTTTCTGATTCTTCTCTCTTCCTTAGATGTTAACTGATCTTGTTCAGTTCTCATGTCACCTTCAGATAGGCCAGGGCTTAGGAGGCACCTTCTACTGAGTTCAGGGTGGGTTTCTCTTCTCTTCCCCCTCTTTCCCATTCCTCCCTCCCTTTACTTACTCCTGAAATAAGCAATGTTCCTCCACACCTTGGGGTCTGGTCATATGCTGATCTTTCTGTCTTGCATGTTTTCTTTTAAAAAAGGTGTATTTTTTTTAATTGAGGTAATGTTGAAACAGTGACTTTCTTTTAGTTTTCCCTCACTAGCTCTTTTCACAGCTCTATTCCTAGTTCTCTTCCTCCCTCCCTGCTTCTGCCTTCACTTATCCCTTCCTAACCCCTTCATTTGATCACGTGATGCACCCGCTCTCCCTCCTTCACCCGTTACTCCTCACTTTAGTCTGTATCTCCTTCCCTAACTCCAGGCCTTCCTCCTTTGCTCCTTACTTACCATCCCCCCTTTCTCACTCTTGCTGGCTTCACTTCTGCCAGCCCCTTCAGTTTCCATTCTTTACTTCTGCCCTCACCTTATTTCCCCCATGCTTCACCCCTGTCCCCACTCTGTCCACTGCTGCCCTCACTTTACTACTGCCCATGTAGCTCCCTTCCTTCTCTTGGGCCTTCTCGAAACTCCTATGTCTCTACTTTGCCCCCTTCCCTCACTCTTTACCCCCTTTGTTCCTTCCTTTGCTCACTCCCTCCCCTCCCCACTTGCTCCCTCCTTTCTACCCAGTTTCCTCCCTCCTGGGCTGACTAACTTCCTGCCTTCTGGGCTCTCACCCTCCCTCCCAGCTGGGCTGCCTCCCTCACTCTCTTCTACCCTTACCCATCCCTCCAACACTCTGTGCCTCCCCACCTGCCACCCTCACTCCCTGTCCCTTCCACCCAGCTCCCGGTTCTTTCCCTCCCTTATTTCTTCCTTTCCTTGCTCCCTACTTCCCCCCACATCCCCTCTATCCCATTCTTTCCCTCTTGGCCTTGCTGGTTCCTTCCCACCCACTCTTGCTTGTTTTCTTCCATCTTCCTTCCCTCTCTCTCTCCCTCAGTCTATCTTTCCCTCCTTACTCTACTCCCTCACTCCTTTCTTCCCTTGTTCTCTGGCCTCCTTCTCTCTTTTCTCTCTCCCTTCCCACTCCTTTGCTCCTTCCCTGGCAATTTCCCTCTCTGGCTTCCTTACTTCCCTGATCACTCACTGCCTGGTTCCCTTGCTCCCCCTTCCTTGCTTTTCTTCTTTTCCCTCTCCCCATCTTTGTGGCTTGGGCAAATATTTTATGCCTCAGCTTCTGGGGAGGAAGGGTTGAAAGCAGCTGGGATGTCCCTGGCTAACAGAGAGCAAGAGGGGGGAGGCAGGAGGGAGGGATCCTTCTTAACACATCTTGGAGTCAGGTGCACCCCTATTCTGATTATCAGGACAAAGGGCTCCCACTAAAGTTTTTAGAGAAGGGATGTTTTCCTCTTACAGGGTTGAGAATTATAGACAGACTTTTACAAGGGAGGTATGGAGATGGTGTAAGAAGAGAAGAAAGGAAGGAGCCACTGGTGAGTAGAGCAGTGGAAGGGAGAGTTGCTTGCCCTGCTTTTATCACTAGGTTGTTGTAGGAACTGAAACAAATGCTTTCCTCCTCTGGGCCTTAATTCCCTTGTTTGCAAAATTGGAGAGTTGGTTCAGTCTGTGATCTGGAAATAGAGAAGATATGGTAAGAATCTGGGGTGGGCAGTTAGCTATAGTTTGGGAAAAGATTTAGGAGTTTTCCTGCCTCTTAGTCATCGCTCCGAAACCAGAGCTCAACTTGCAGAGGGTGGAAGATGAGCAGGTGCTTCTAGATTGCGCTTCTTCTCACCCTTGGCCTGGCCTGGATCATGCCAGTGTAGCTCCCATGCATGTCCTCCCAGCCCTGTAGTCCTTAGTCTCTCTTTCAGCTCTCTCTGTGTCTGACTTTCTCTCACTGTCCAGTACCCTGGTGGCATCCTACTCCTTCTAAATACTGTTGCTCATTTCTTAGACTAGGACACAAAGTACAGGTTTATTTGCCATCTCTGTCTCCCCCTTTCTGTGACTTCCTTCCCTCACTTCCCCCACAATAGGCCTTTCTTAGATTTCCCATTCCTGGATCTTGAGATCTCTGCCCCCCCTCTGTGTGCCATATTATGCCTCTTCCAATGCCTCGGGAATCTACCCCAAGAGGCCCTTATTCTCTCTCTGGTGATACGGTTTTGGGCAGATCTTGCCTGTCTGTGATTTTGTTTTTTGGTATACCACTCAAACCAGCCAGAAACTGGCTTTTAGAACTACCTGAAGGTTTGTGCCAGGGAATGTCATTGCCTCCATCACCCTTCTCTCCATCTGCCTTTCATCCCTGGGCAAGAGGAGTGCGCTGTCTGTGGCTGTGACTGCCTCTCCTCTGTATCTGCAGGAGCCCATCCCCCCTTGTTTGGATGACTTCCTGTACATCTGCAATGATATTTATCAGCGAGAAGAGATGCTGTCCATGGAAATGAGGATCCTGAAAGCCCTCAATTTTGATATCAATATTCCTACCGCCTATCATTTTCTGCGCAGATATGCCAGGGTAAGAGGGAGGAGGTTCATTGTCATGCTCCCACTGCTGGGGTAATCCTCTCAACCCAACCCCCAGAATGGCTGCCGAAGTCGTAGGAGAGGGAAAGGTACAACTAATGGCAGAGCAATTTTCTTTTTCTTTTCTTTTTTTAATTAATTAATTTTTAGAGGCATGTATGTATGTATTTATTTGTTTGTTTGTTTGTTTACACATGCACTGGGTACAGTCAGAAGCGTGGGAGGGTGAGAGAATTCACCAGAGCCAGAGCGGGAAGCAGAGCAGGCAGAAGGACCAAAGTACACTGCTGAGGGGAGCAGCGGGCGGCAGGAGAGGTCTGCGCGCCATGTGGGACCCTCCTCCGGTGGCCGGGGAGCAGCCGGGGATCGAACCTGCGCAAAGATTGACAATCTTTATGAAGTGGGTGGTTGGGGAGAAAATTGCATATTTTCATGATGTGCCTATGAAGTTTTGAGGTAAGAGCAGAGGGGAAGAAGATTATTTGATCAGGACAGGGCCCCTGGGAAGTTTGGACAAGATGCTGGCAAAGTTACCTTCATTCGCATATTGGCTAACGGGGAGGTCGTTTTGTAATCATTATAATCTACAGGTGTGTGTTGTATACTGTTCTGTATGTGTGTATAGGTTATAATTTTTTTAATAAATAGAAAATGATTGAAACAAGAAAGGGAAGGAGTACTTTTACAGCATGAAACACCTCCTTGGCAGAACCAGTGCCAAGTTACAGCTGGAGGACTTGGACTCTTCAAAGGGTGACTCCTAAAGAAAGGGGAGGTGGGAAGGCACCACATGCACACTTGATTATTTGGTTAAAAGCCCTAATGGTGGCAAAGCCCACAGCCATATCAGGATCCTGCTTGTGCTGTGGGCCAGGGTCCTTAGTGTGATTCATGGTAGTGGAAGGGATACAATTCTCAGGCAGATGATTTAGATGTGAGGTGAGATAACTGGAGAGAGTGAATTCAGGGAGTCTTACCTGGTGCTGATTTTCTGAATTGATCACTGAGCCCTTCTTTCTGCCTTTAGTGTGTTCATGCTAGCATGCAGACACTGACCTTGGCCCGCTTCATCTGTGAGATGACCCTGCAGGAATATGACTATGTCCAGGAAAGGGCTTCCAGGCTCGCTGCTGGCTGCCTCCTTCTGGCTCTCCACATGAGGAAGCTTGGAAAATGGGTAAACATTTGCTGGGGGCAAGCATGAGGGATTCAGAAGCACAGGGTGGCTCGGGAGGAAGGTATAAATTAAAGCTGTGGGACACTTGGTAACAAAACCCACTGTGTACCCACACTTAGGAATGCTTTGACATCTCGTCACCTTAGGGGCTTGACTGCTTAGTAGATTTCTGCAGCAATGGTTTTGAAGTATTTTCTTTCATTAGTCTCAGTACTTTTCTCAGTTTCTTTTCTTAGTCTCAGTACTCTTTGTTCCAAAGAAAGCTTATCTGAAAGCCCAATACTGCAAAATAGACTAATATGGGGTTATTCCCGTGAGTGGTCCTCTTCTTACCTGATTCCATTCCACCCCTGCCCCTTGCAGCCCCCTCAGCAAGTTTGCACCTCCCTCATGTCCCCCAGGAGTTCATTGGTATGGGTTTTGAAATGTACTGACCCAGACAGAGTAGTGAAAGCAAATGTCCATGTGTATAAGGGAGACCAGAGCTAAACCATAGTGCCCTTCTCTGAAGAGGAAGGCCCCTAGAACTTCCTTCCTGTATACAAATAAAACTCATATTTGATGCTCTCTTGGTTTTATGGGAAAAGGTACTATAAGCTTTAGAGAACTATAATTTTTACTGATGTGTAATATGCAATCTGAATAGTCCTAAGCCCCTACAACCTGGAGCGCCTAGAGGCACTACTGATGAGAAAATCCTTGTGTGCTAAGAACGAACATTGTAAACAGCTGTGTGAACTTCACAAGTCATGAAATTTCTTGGGACAGCATTTAATAAATGGGAGTGACAATGATCAAAAGAATGAATAATAATGACTTGTATTTATGAGTGCTTACACAGTGATCTAAGCAATTTGTGTTAATTCATGTAATCTTCACAATAATCCCATGAGGCCAGTACTATTATCCCTATTTTATAACTAAGAAACTATTTCCCATATTTACACAGCTAATGAGCTGCAGGGCAAGGCTTTGGGAACTAAGAACGGTGTCCTCAGAATATACCTACCGTGTAATCAGAACAGATGAAGCCATAGCTGTGGAGCCAGGCCCAGGGAGGCCCCATGCTGAGCCAGGTTTTGACCTTTGGATCCTGGGAAAGTCTGCTGGGTCCTCAGGTGGACAAGAGAGTAACTCAGGGCAGCAAACTGCTTGTCAACCAGTATAGAAATATGTCAGTGCATTGTCTGGGTATGCCAGTGAGTGTTCATTAAATGCCAGCTCTGACCTGGACTCAGGTAGTCCGGCTCCATAGTCCTCTGTGTTACTGCCTCTGCAGATAAGAAAGGCTGCACAAAGGTTACTTTTGTGATGGGTCTTGAAAGATGAGTAGGAACCTGTGAGAGGAGACATTCTAGGTAGAGGGAAAATAATTGAAAAGTCATGAGGAAATAAGGAAAATGTGATGTATTTGGGCAGAACAGGATATTTCCTATGGCTGGAGCAGAAGATAGGTTAGTAGAGAATGGTCAGAGATGAGATGAGATGGTAGAGTTTGTTCAGATTGTGAGAGAGCTTTGGTGTTATGCAGAGACCCACCTTATACTAAGACGTAAATTTTTTAAGACAGGGAGTGACATGCCCCTATTTGTGTGTTTTAGAAACAGTACTGGTGTAGCAAAATAGAAGGTATATTAGATAAGAGAACATAAAATCGGAACACTAGCAAGTAGGTTTTCATAATAGTGAAGGTGAAACATTGCGTTAAAGCAATGTAGTGACAACTGGGCTGTTAATTTTATATGATACACCCATGTAGTGTGTCACCACACATGCTGCACTCCTGCCTCAGCATGCCGATGACTGCCCTTCATGGCAGTGGTTTCCAAACAGTGTTCAGTGGCACCCTGGGATTCTTGAGGAAGAATCTCATGGGTCTTGTGACAGGTAAAGTGATCCATATTGGTGGACTTCTTAGGCCCCACTCCCACTTCATGTAAGATATTTGGCCTTCCAGATAAGATATTTGAAAAAGAGTTCAGGGAAAATAATTAGGACCTTTTTAGAAAACCCCTGCCTTATAGACTAAACCTTCCTTTCTCTGCCTGTGGAGCTCCCACTTGACTTTCAGCACCCATGGCAGAGGTGCACTCTGTGAAGCTTTCTGTGACGCCGGTCAAAGTTCATCAGTCCTGCTGCTCTCTTCCTCCAGTGTTCCATGCTCACCTCCATCATAGCATTTCCCACACATGTTGTAATTCTCTGTGTGCTTGCCTGTCTCCCTCCTACGCTCTCTTTCAAGGGCAGGAACTTTAGTCATCTTTGTATTGCCAGCATCCTGCAAAGGGCTTGGTAACATTAATTCTAGCCAGCATTGTTTGGGCACCTACTACATGCGAGACCCTGTTCTCTGTGCTTTTACGTATTAACTCATTTAATCCTATGATGTAATTACTATGTTGTTTCCCATTTGGCAGATTGGGAAGCTGAGGCACCAAGAGGTTAAATAACTGGTGCAGGGCCATGCTGTTAGTGGAGCTGGAGTTTAGGCCCAAACTGTTTGCCTGCAGTACCTTTGATCTTAAACATTCTCATATATTCATTCTGCCACATGGTAGGCATCCTTAAAGTTGAAGGAGAAAATGAATGCATGGATTGATAGCTGCTAGAGCAAGAGAGGAAGAATAGCCTTAAGTTCCTTAAGTTGGCTGTTGAGACCTCAAGTTTATTCTGAGCTTTACCTGGCTCTTAACCCAAGAATGAGGACATTCCTGTTCCTTGGATTTTTTTGGTGTGTTTCAGATTACATTACTACCTACTGCCAGGGCTAAGGTCCATCTAATGCATATGGATATGGAGCCTAGAACTAGTTTGCAGCTGGAACCTAGTATTCTAAGTAGTACCCTATTATTGGTCAATGTCTGTGCCATATGAGTCTTTGAAATACTTAACTATCTTCCCTGATTCCTGTCATGAAAGTCACTGTTCATGTTGCTTCTTCCAGGTCCCTATCCTGGAGTATTACAGCGGCTACAAGACCTCTGATCTTCGCCTGTTAGTCAGGCACCTGAACATCCTGTTGACTTGGCGTTGTGGGAGTAGACTCAATACTGTGCGTACCAAGTATTCTCACCAGTGAGTATTGAACTCCAATTGAAGTTGGGTATATGCTTGTGGGGAGGCCAAGACTAGCCTCATGTAAGGGAAAAGAAAGATTCAGGTATCTTTCACCTTACTTTTTGCTCCAGACTCAAGGTAAGATAAGGAATCAAGGGTTTTATGTCTCAGTTATTCAATGAAGTCTGCTTGCTGGCTTGCCTTAATTTATACTAAGCAGACCACTGTTCCTTTTGCAGGGTCTTCTTTGAAGTCACCAAAATCCCTCCACTGGACACATTGAAGCTAGAGGAGATTATGAACAACGGCTGATTTTGAGGCGAGGGGCTTGGCACTCTGGCAGCAACCACGAGAGAGAGGCAGGAGGGCAGTAGATAGGTTCTATTTATTCTGTACTTGTATTTGTCTTTTGGTCATTTTTCTTCAGTTATACTCTGTTTGTTTGTCTTTTCCAAAATTGATGTTGTAAATATTTAAGTTTTTATGAAAGAGAAGAAATTATTATGTTTGGAAAATTAATAAAACATTAATGGTTGTTGTTAAAATGGCTGGCCTCCCTTCTTACTGCTCAGGAACCGAACACACACATAGCCCGAAGATCTTTTTTTCCTGCCTTGTAGAAGCTGTGCCTCAGGTCTATCTTGTCTCATTTCCTTCTCTATTTGGAGACCTTTTCATTGGAAGAGGAATTAAGCCAGGTGTTAGGTTGATGGATAAGTCTGCAGAAGTCCAAAAAGGGACTAGCAGGCAGGACTCTGTACGGATCTGGGAAAGCTTGGGGTGTGGGCATATACCCCTTAGTCCTTATCTTAACTTGCTTGCTTTGCTTCTTCTTAGATGCAAAAGGTGGCGATTAGGGGCTTTAACCCAAATATAGCCTTTCTTTCATAATTAGGCAGCTTTCTGGAGTTTATATTTGAACAAACTGCTTGAAGTAGCATGCTGAAATTGCTTTTATCCCTTATCTCCTGGAAAAATACAAATTTCTTTCTTAAATTTTTAATTTTGAGGTTACATTTTTGCTCTTTCATGTGTATTTATATTTTCACCTTCTAGCAAACTATCCATGCCAATAATCCCCTACCTCCCTTCCATATCCCCTCCACCTCCCTCCCTGTTCCTTCTGTTAAGCATTATGTTCTTTCACTGAGTCCAAGATTTATTCCTGCTGTATTTTGCCTGTCTTTTTTGTTGTTGTTGTTGTTATTCATATTCCACAGGTGAATGAGACCATCTGATACTTTTCACTTTCGGATTTATTTCATTTAACATAATCACCTGGAGGTCCATCCATTTTGGCACAAAAGACAGTATTTCATTTTTTCACAGCTGAGTACTATTCCATTCAGTATATATTCCACAATTTCTTTATCCATTCATCTGTTGAAGGACACTTAGGTCGGTTCCACGACTTGGTAATTGTAGACAGTGCAGCTGTGAACATAGGCCCACATAAATCTTTTCATATTAGAGTTTTCATATTTTTAGGATAAATATCTAATGGAGATATTGCTGGATGATATGGAATTTCCATTTTTATTTTCTTAAGACCTCTTCATAGAGACTATACCAACTTGCACTCCCACCAACAGTAGTTAAGAGTTCCTTTTTCACCACAAGCTCACCAACAGTTGTTGATTCCATTCTTTTTCATATGGGCCGTTCTCATAGGGGTGAGGTGATAGTTCCTTGAGGTTCGACTTGCATTTTCCTTGTAGTAAGTGCTCTTGAACATTTTTTCAGTCTTCTTTGGGAGTCTATTTAGGTCCTTTTCCTATTTTTTATTAGATTTTTTTGTTGGATTGTTTAAGAACTTTGTAAGTTTTGGAGGCTATGATGCATGGTGTGCAAACATTTTTCTTGTCTGATGCATGGTGTGCAAACATTTTTCTTGTCTGATGCATGGTGTGCAAATATTTTTCCCACTTTTTTTTTTGGTCATGGTTTATTTTTAGGTACAAAAACATTTTAGTTTGATGTAGTCCCACTTCTTTATTTTTGCTTTTGTCTCCCTTGCCATTATTGTTGAGTCCCCAAATGAAACATTGCAGTGAAGGTCCTGTAGTGTGACCCCTACATTTTTTTTTTTTGAGTAATTTATGGTTTCAGTTCATTTTCTTATCTTTTTTTTAAAAGATTTATTTTTAATTTTTTTTTTTTTTTTTAATAGAGGCATGTTTTTATTTATTTATTTATGCAAGCACTGGGTACAGTCAGAAGCGCGGGAGGGTGAGAGAATTCACCAGAGCCAGAGGGGGGAGCAGAGCAGGCAGAAGGACCGAAGTACACTGCTGAGGGGAGCAGCGGGCGGCAGGAGAGGTCTGCGCGCCATGTGGGACCCTCCTCCAGTGGCCGGGGAGCAGCCGGGGATTGAACCGGCACCGCAGAGGCCATGGGCAGTTTCACAACCCAGCGCTCAACCGCTGCGCCACCGGGGAGGCCCTATTTTTAATTTTTTTTTTTGTTTTTTACATCATTGTTACTGAGATGTATGTCTTTTAGTGTTTTACCTATATTTTCTTCTGTATATTGTATGGTTTCAGGTCTTATGTCCAGTTCTTTTATCCATTTTGAGTTGATTTTTGTGCATGGTGGATTTATGCATACAAGAACTGGGGTATAAGCCAGAGGTGTGGGGGTTGAGAGGATTCACCAGAGACTGGGGAGCAGAACAGGCAGATGTGCTGAAATAAACTGCTGAGGGGAGCAGCGGGCAAGTCAGGAGAGGTCTGCTGCACCATGTGGGTAGCTCCCTGGCTGGCGGGGATCGTTCTGCAGTGGCTGGTGATAGCTTGATAGCGCTGCCTTTAACCCCTGTGCCACCAGGGAAGGCCCCTTTCTTTTATTTTTAATTGAGGTATTATTTGGATATGCCCATCAGGTATCACCACTGTAGTGTACCCACCACCAGATCACCCACAGTGTACCACCATAGTTCTTTGTGCTTCCTTCCCTCTTTGTTCTCATCCCTTGCCCCTCCCACTTGGTGCTTCAGTTTTGTAGTCAGCTATCAAGGGTTAGTTTTTAATCTTGTCTTTGTCTGACTCTTAGTTACTTTATATTCCACATATAAGGGACACCATTGGTATTTGTCTTTCTCCTTCTGACTTGACTTCACTTAACGTTATCCCTTCTAATTGCATCTGTGATGCAGCAAATGGTATGAGTTTATCCTTTTTGATCATTGAGTAGTATTCCATTGTGTATATATACCAAATCTTCTTTATTATCTACTCATCTGTTTGGGGACATTTAGGTTGTTTTCATAATTTAGCTACAGTAAGTAGCACTGCAATAAACATGGGAGTGCCAAGTTACCTTTTGAATTAGTATTTGTGAATCTGGGGGGTAGATGCCTCACAGTGAAATTACTGGGTTATATGGAAGATCCATTTTTAATGTTTTGAGCACCTCCATACTATTTTCCATAAGGGCTGGATCAGTTTGCATTCTCACCAGCAGTGCAGGAGGGTTCCCGTTTCTCCACAGCCTTGCCTGGACTTCTTGTTTCTGGTCTTTTTGATATGGGCCATTCTCCCAGGTTTGGAAAGTTACCTCATAGTGGTCTTGATTTGCATTTCTCTAATAAGAAGTGATGGTGACCACTTTTTTTTTCATGTGCCTGTTGGCAGTTTGAATGTCTTTGGAGAAGAATCTGTTTAGTTCTGCCCTTTGATTGGGTTATTTTATTTTTGTTGAGTTTTATGAGTTGTTCGTATATCTTTGATAGCAGTCCTTTGTCAAATATATGGTGTTTGAATATTTTCTCCCATTCAGTAGGGTGTCTTTTTAGATATGGTCTAGTTCACTGGTAGAAGCTTTTTAGTTTGATATAGTCCCAAATGTTTATGTTTTGTTTTCCTTGCTGTTGGGGTCAAACCCTAAAGGCATTGCTAAAGTTTATGTCATGAAATGTTTAGCTTATGTTGTCTTCTATGCATTTTATGGTTTCAGGTATTACATCCAAGTCATTTATCCATTTTAAATTTATTTTGGTATATGGTATAACAGTGATCTAGTTTCATTCTTTTGCATGCAGCTGCCAGTTTTCCCAACACCATTTATTGAGAGGCTATCCTTGTTCTGTGTATATTTGTGGCTCATTTGTCATAGATTTACTGTCCACATTCGTGTGGGTTTATTTCTGGACTCTCAGTTCTGTCCCACTGGTTTGTGTATCTGTTTTTGTTCCAGTATCAGGATATTTTAATTATTATGGTTTTATAATATAATTTGAGGTCTGAAAGTGTGATTCCTCCATTCTCATCCTTTTCTGTCAGGATTGCTTTTGTTATGTGGGGTCTTTGGTGATTCCTTATGAATTTCAGTAGTGTTTACTCCAGTTATTTTAAAAAATACCCTTGATATTTTTATTGGGATTCCATTGAATCTGTATATTGCTTTGGGTAGGATGGACATTTAACAATGTTAATTCTTCCAATCCATGAGCAGGGGATGTCTTTCCATTTCTTTGCGTCTTCTTTTATTTCTTTTAACAGTGTTTTATAATTATCTCTGTATAGGTCTTTCACCTCTTTTGTTTATTCCCTAGTGTTTAATTTTTTTGTTTCAATTATAAAAGGGATGATTTTCTTGATTTCTTCTTCAGATTGATTGTGTATAGGAAGGCTACTGATTTTTGTGTGTTGATTTTGTATCCTGCTACTTTGCTGAACTGGTTGATTATTTTGAGTAGTTTTTCTGTGGAGTTTTTAGGGTTCTTTACATACATTATCATACTGTCTGCAAGTAGTGATAGTTTTACTTCTTCTTTCCCTATCTGGATCCCTTGTATGTCTTTCTCTTGTCTTATTGCCCTAGCTAGGACCTCCAGTATTATATTGAAGAGCAGTGGTGAGAGAGGACATCCTTGTCTTGTTCCTGATCATGAAGGGAATGACTTCAGCTTTTTGTCATTGAGAATAATATTGGCTGTGGGTTTTTCATATATGGCTTTTATCATGTCCATCTCTTCTAGATTGTTGAGTTTGTTTGCATATAACTGTTCGTAGTAGTTTCTGATTATTCTTTTGATTTCTGCTGTGTCTGTTGTGATTTCTCCTTTTTCATTTGTGATCCTATTTATTTGTGTTTTCTCCCATTTTTCCTTTGTGAGCCTGGCTAGGGGTTTGTCTATTTTAATTATTTTTTCCAAGAACCAACTTTTGGTTTCACTCATCTTTTGGATTGTTTTTAGTTTCGATTTCATTTATTTCTGCTTTGATTTTTATTATTTCCTTTCTTCTACTGGCTTTAGGGGTTTTTGTTGTTCTTTTTCTAGTTCTTTGAGATGTGTGATTAGGTTGTTTCTTTGAGTTATTTCTTGTCTGTTGATGTAAGCCTGTATTGCAACATATTTTCCTCTTATTACTGCTTTTGCTGCATCCCATCCATTTAGGAAATTGGTGTCCTCCATGTCATTCAACTCAGAGTATTTTTTAATTTCTTCTTTGATCTCCTCATTAGTCCAGTGGTCTTCCAGTAGTGTGGGTTTCAATCTCCATGAGGTAGGAGGGTTGCTTGCCTTCTT